GATTTACTATACTAAAATTAATACAAAAAAGTTAAATTTAGTATATTTTTAAATCTATTTATTTAATAATTTTTAAATACTGTATATATGAATGTATTTAATATAATTAGATATTATACTGTTACAAATAATTAAAGTGTTAATAATTTTTTTTAATAATAATAGTTTTTTTTTTGGTATTAAGGTGAGGTCTTGCTTGTATCTTTATTAATAATTTTAAGAAATAGTAATTATATAGTAACTATATAGAAGTATTACAATTTGTATAAATAAAAATTTGACTCAATAGTTTTTAAACCATTTTTTTTGTTGTAAAAATATTATAGACTTTAATAAAATCAAATATTTATAGATAAATCTATAGATCTATTAGCTTACCAATTTCAAATATAATTATATTTATTTTAAAGTTATTGTATATCATTGCATTTAGTATTCTAATCTAGTCGATTTAAATAACTTAATACTATATTTTATTATATACAGTAGATAGTGATTAATATAATAGTTTTAGAATATTCAGGTTTACTATTTAAAGTATTATATTTAATTTTATAAATACATTCATATATACAGTATTTAAAAATTATTAAATAAATAGATTTAAAAATATACTAAATTTAACTTTTTGTATTAATTTTAGTATAGTAAATCCAAACTATTAATAATTCTAAAACATTATAAAATTTATATGATAAATCTAAATTATTAAACTGGTTTTAACCTCTATTTTAAAATATCTAGTAAAAAACTAATCAACTGAATATTTATTGATTTGATAAATTCTAATTCAATAACAATTATTACTAAAATCACAAACTTATTAAATTGACAAATATTTGGTCAGTTAATTTTTTCCCAAACATTCCAGAATTTATAAAAACAGCTGTAAATAAACCTAACCTATCCCGTACCCTAGTAATGTTTGTATAAATTTTATATACATTTTGCATACTATACATGATATATTATTTTATAATGCGTAAGTTGTGACCTCTAACCATAAACACGCGTTTGCTAGTTTAACATATTATACACCACTACTATTCGTATTACTTCATGTTTACTAGTTCAAGAGTTATTAAATTTTTATTAAAAACCGGCTAACGATTTACTATGTATGTGGCCTGCATTATATTTGGTTATGATTACAAACTTACAATATTATGTAACGGTAGTTTTCGTACGTACGTACCTGGCTTTACAAAAGCAAGCCTAGCATCGCCCATAAAAAAAATATAGTTAACATCACTTGTAAATATAATATACATATTGTCGCAGCTGATGCTTGGTCTCGATTTGAAAATATAAACCCTGCTAAAATTCACATACTCTTTAATTATCAATTCTAACCCTAAATCCTAACCTAACCCTAAAAAAAAGTGGACAAAAACGCTCCCAAAAATTTTTATATCAAAATAGGTCCGAATTTCAGCATCAGCTGCGACAATATTATATAATATAAAGTTGAGTGATTGCTAATCGATTCGTAATTCGTAAATTGAGAAACGTAAAATGCCCATTTTTATTTGATTTTCGAATAGATATTCGATAAAAAAGTTTAGGAGTTAATTGTATAGTAAAAAGTATGAACTCGTAAAAATGGGCTGTTTTAATACGTAACACTCCGTATATACAATTGAAAATATGACGTCAGATATATATATTTTTAATGGGCGATGCTAGGACTGTTGCTCGGCCAGTATCGGTATTACCATTACATCATTTGAGATGCAAATTGTGTATCACGTGAAATATAAATCACAGACTAATTTATTGAAATTTACGCAAATTACATAAAATTACATAAAATTACGTACAAAATTACTATATGTAGTAGGCACCTTAGTAAACTGTAATATGTTTCAACTTGCAAGATTCAGCCCATGAAAAATCTTATTGGTGTTATCTATTGTTCTATTGGAAGTTTGGTTTTCAAAACCAATTCTGTTAAAACCGATAGCCTGCTAAATATGACAAAAAATTTAATCCACTAAGTTTGTTTTTGCTAATATATAGTTTATAATGTTTTCAATCAGATAACCTCTCGATAATCGCATATCAGATACGTATTAAACTGTACGTACGTACGTACGTATTGTATACGTATCAAATTATTATACGTAGAAACATATTCAAATTGTTAATAAATTTTTTATAAGAAAAAAAAGAATTACTTACCAACACTGAGCGATTACGTATCGTATACGTCAGGGGTAAATCTTAAAAATGATCAACGCGAAAGCCTAAAGTTTTATTTTTTTCTTGGCAACACATAAAATACGGTAATTACTGCAAGCATAACCAACCATGACTTTAATTTAAGGCATCAAAACTTTAAACATTAGTACAACAAATGAAAAATGTGATATTGAATAAATATATACGTATATATATACGATTATATCATAATGACAATATTAGGTTTTAACGGTTACGTAATTAACGAGACTTATACGTAATTTTTTTTTACAGTACCTATTCGAAAATAGTTAGCGTGAGTTCAAGTATAATAATAATTGTAAACGAAGTTAATTGTAGTAATGACGAAATCAACTTCAAAAAAAAATATATAAAGGTGAATTGATTTCAGTAAAAAGAAAATTATTCAAATCAATCTTTTACCTGCAAAAATGTCTGAACAACCAAGTAAAATCAACACTAGTGCTACTTACTATACCGGCGCTGCCAAGGAAACAGGTAATCAAATTTTTTTTGACATGAAAATGTTTGTCAAAACAAAAAAAAAAAAAAACTTTTCAATATTAATCTTTGAATTAAAATAGTTGGCGACTTAGTCGGTAACGAATCCCTGAAAGCTTCAGGTCAAGCTGCTCAAGTTCAAGGCAACGCAGAATATGATGCCGCAACTAAGGAAGCACCATCAAAATTCAATGCCAATTACAATGCGACCATGGGTGCGGTTAAGGAAACAATCGGATCCGCTATTGGACATACCAGTTTGGAGAGGTCAGGTGCTGAACAACGTAGAAAGGGAAATGAGGAATTAGAAGCGGTCAAAATGGCCGACTATGTTGGTGGTGCTGGAAATAAGGTTAAAGGAGCAGTACAGGAACAAGTAGGCATTATTCCATATACATATATATTCGCCCTTTTTTTTTTTTTGAAGTTCAGAAATTAATAAATAAAACCGACAGGTTGGCGCAACTATTGGCGATAAGCGAATGGAAGCTGAAGGTGCCGCCACTAAAATTAAAGGCGTAAGTTTTCTAGTGAGATCGTGTTCATAAGTTTGATACTCTTCTTAATACTTTGCATATATTTTCATAATAGGAATCTGAAATGTCGAGGAATAAATAAATAGTTACTTGGATAGTATACAATCCCTAGTTATATCGATATATACTTCAAATCTTAGCTTTAGGCAATAATATATTGTATATACTTTGCATATTAGCATTAAGCATTTAAATAATAAATTATTTTGATTTTATGAATTAAAATTATATACGTATATGTTATGCAAATGTATCGCATAAATGTTGATACGTAATACTATAATATGTATTATAGTGAGTCGTTGAAGATCAAGTACAGCATTGAATTTAAATACATCTTTTTATCATCGTGTATTTATTCTTTTTTTCTTCGCACCTATCATTATGGATTTTCAAATCTATAGTATTTTGACCCGTGAGACCTTTTATTGAATATTAAAAACCTTTAGGTCAGACCAATTTGATTTTCTGTTTAGCATAACCCCACCCTCAATACTTCAAAATTATAGGAACCAACTCACGTAAATTAATATTAAATAACTCCCTCTATTTATAAAAAATCTGTGCAAGTCAATAAAATTGCAGCATTAATTTGTATCTTGGTTTTTTCTTAAATTTTCCCTTTTACGTCATAAACAGAAAATCAACTTGGCCTTATTAATCAACAGGAAAACAAATGTTTGATGGGCAGCCATCCCTCATTTATATCAACCCATTTGATATCAACCCATTTGGATCGCTTTTATATTCATGTTGATAGTGATATTAACGAGGGATTATATTAAAATTGATATATATGAGGAATCTTTAATATAACTTTAATATATAGAAATTCATTTTATAGTTTAGGTTGATATCAACGAGGTTGATATTAATGAGGGACGACTGTATAACAAGTGTTTAAATATTCTAAAAAATTCAAACCTTTATTACAACCCGATATTCAGATATTAGATGACATATTCTTGAGGTTATTCGTGTTGGTATAATAGAGAAGTTTCGTATACAGTCAACTCTCTCTAAGTGCAACTTCTCTAAGTGCAACTTTTCTCTAAATGCAACTTTAACTTTGGGCCCAAGTATATGTTTGGTTTCTATAAATTCTCTATAAATGCAATTTTTCTTGCTAAAAGTCTGGTCCCAATGGATTGCACTTAGAGAGAGTTGACTGTAATTAAGAACTAACTTGTAAACGCGAGTTTGCGCACATCAAGGATAAATGAATCTGAACTACTAGCATTTCAAACTATCCAAAATATTATTTTACTAAACATAATTATACGGCCCAAAACTAAATATTGCGCGTCCAATTCGCAACATTCAAGAACGCCAAACCCAAAATATTTAAAATTTTTAATAAATATAGCAATGTGAACCATGATCTAGTATTTGGTTAAATTATGCTCTTGTCCATTATACTCAAGACGTGGTGTATCTTATGCGAGAAATGAAAAATTAATTTCATCATAAAAACATAGAATGTTGCAAATAATTATAAATTTATGTTTTGTCAAATATACGTATATAAATTTGGTATTTAGTATTCTTAGTATTCTCAAATGCGCTACGTATAATAAAATTTTTAAATTTTATACCGATCGAAAAACTACGTGTTATTTTCAAATTGAAAAATGACATGCATCAACTAATTGATACGTATAAATTAAGGAATGACGCATAACATATAGTATACGTAGTGTGAAACTCATCAAATCCATATCGATATATATATGTTGCGGAGTCAAATAATTTAAATTATCTGGAGCTACTATGATTGTACTGTACGAACAAATAATTCGATTCATGCTGTTGGTTCAGTCGTCGTAATACCGTTATTGAATGCTACGCAGGCAACATGTTTATCTGGCAGGGCCAGAAGCTGACATATTAAATTTCATAGCTCCCGTCTTTGGCTGTTTCGAATTCAATACCTCTATAGTGTCAGTATCCATTTACAGTACTTTACCCGTTTGGAATACACAACTCGATTCTTACCAGCAAACCTAGCATCATCCATAAAAAAAAAATACCAGAGACGTCTCTTGTAAATATATAATGTTAAAATAGATAGATTATCTAGTTTTTTTAAATTGATTACTAAGTGATTCGTCTAATTCGTCTATTAAGAAACATAGACATACAGTCAGACCTCCCTAAATGCATAGTCTATAAAAAACCTCTCTAAATTCCTAGCCTTATTTGGCCCCAACTCTTATAGATTTTTACCTCCTTAAATGCAATGCCTTTCTAAATGCAAGATTTTTTGGACGCCCCCGGCTATGCATTTAGAGAGGTCTGACTGTATATAAAATGTGAAGTCGGCAGTATTTTTTTTATGGGTGATGCTGGGGCTGTTGATTCTTACCATAGAGCGATGCATTCTGTACTTGCAAACCAAGGGGAGAACGTACTTTTAATCGATATTTAGACAGAGATCCTGACATAAGCAATCTTGCTAATTTATACTCAGGTATAAGTCAGGATTTTCGAGTAATGGTATTGAAATTTATACCCGAGTCTTAACCTGGGAGACACTTTGCAGTAAACGGTTAATCTTATTCTAATTTTAATTTTAATTAAAGAATAATATTTACTTATATAAACACTGTGTAAAATAATAAACCTTAAAAATTTTTATAATAACGATAATATAAAGAAAATCCTTAATTTACTTTAGTATATATATATAAATATGATATACGTGCTGTAATTTTCTAGATCTATACGTACAATAATACGCTATATACATTAAAATTTAAATTAAACTTAGGGTTTAAAGTTAAAATAAGGCCATACAAATTTAATTAATTGTTTTTTATAACCCGGCTGGATCAAATTTGGAATTTATATAAGTTATAAAATTTTTTTTAA